TACCTTGTAATGCATTCACTTCGACTTCTAGCCGATAAGCCTCCAACAACTTTGCTTGTGGCAGAACCAAATCAAAGAGAACTGTGAATCTTTAAAAAAAGCAAATGATAGATTCTAGGCAATGCAAAAGTGGAAGGTCAAACGGGAATTTTTGCGCAGACCACAGATAGATGCATACAAGGAACGGAGAATAGTTATGTTTAAGCGTCATTTCCTTAAACCGGAGCATCATTGTATACAGTCTTCACCTTTTGAGAAACTGCCAATGCTTGAACATTACTGTATGGTGTCATAACCAGAGTATCTATCTGATCACTCCACGATAACGTCGTCAATGGATAATCGGACAACAGTTACTAAGTAGAACATCAGCTGATGCTCTTCTCGGTATTGCACTATCACGTTGTAGTATGCGAGTATTCGGCTAACTCTATCAATACAGATGAAGCGATGCTTGTGGAAATTGTCAACCTTCTCATCTGTATTCACCACAGCGTCGAAGTCTTTCTCACCCATTGTTATTGTTACTTTTTCAAACAATAAAATAACCAAAAGTCATTTGAAAGAATTAAGAAAATGCAAAATTTCTTCTTACTCACCAAGTAGAAGCCGTTCTGCAAAACCTTTTACAATTGGCATAATGCACATCATCCACCAAGTTTACTTCAGCCATCGACTCCTAAAAAGATGTAAGTTGACAAAAGCTATAACATTTTCAAAGTTTTCAGCTGTTTTACTTATGGCATCAGCTCTTAAATGGCAAGCTAATTTACAAAAATGCTCCACTAACGGATGGGCAGGTTATAACAAATTTGTAAGATCGACGTATACAAAGAATTGGGTGCTAATCCACATTGTCGAGCCCACAATCTCAGAATGCTGGATTTTGTACGAAATGCCCAATTATGCAATTTGATATGAACGAAATCATATACTTTTTGCACGGTAAGATCTTGCTGTAGGACTGCAGTATTTAGCGGTAGTGAGTTAAAATTGGGAGTCTCCTGAAGTCCAGGAGTTTATTTGGTGTGGTTTTCGTAAAATTAAGCCTGGATATTCTCAAAATTGATATAGGTTTACTATTCATTACGAATGCAGATAGTGATAATTGAGTGCGTAGCCTAAAATGAATATGTGAAATGAATAAATCGTGATCAGCTTAAGAAATATTCCTCCTCCTCCTTCCCTCTTCCCCTCCCTCCCCCCACCCTCCCGCTTCCCCTCAACT